TTGCCTGGTGTTTCTCTCACTTGGTCACGAACTAATGGAGAGCAGGGAACTTATCAGGTTCCTGGTTGTGTCCGCAGCACAGACAAGACGTCCACTTCTTTGAATCACAGTGGCATCCCCGGATAGCCTCTAGGGCTTCCTTGGCTTTCCCAGCCCCATACCTGGGTTCGAAGCACACCTGAGGGATACAGTACTCTCGCACCACCATGGGGCCTCCTGTAGCACTGCTTGAAAAGCACACTGTAGGTCACAGAAAGAGAATCTCAGGCTGGAAGAGCCCTTATGGGTCATTTAGTTCTCAGTGTGGATGCTCCCTATGGCATCCCTGCCACATGGCCTCCGATCAGATGGCTGTGACTTTTAAGTTCTTCCTTAGGTTGAACCTAAGCAAGTCTCTGGGTTTCCCCTCCTCCTGGCCCTTGTTAGGATCCTCCCACCACTTCCTCACTTTGTTTTCTAAGGAGTAATGGGACTCCTGACTCCTTCAGTTCTGCTGCTAGGTTCGGCCTCCGAAGTGCCCTGGGCACTTGGACCCACCACTTCACTTCTGGCGACGGTCTTATAACAACTGCCTGATTTTCTTGTTCTTTAGAGATCACCAGCTGTGGCTCATGGTCGCATTTGCTTGGCTGAGCATTAGAATCATCCATGGCACTTGCTTTTACAAAGAGAGAGAGGAGTGGGTTGATTCTGGGGGATGTTGCTCAGCAGTTCTGAATGACCGAGTCAGGGCTTAGTCCCTCCAGCAGTTTGAATGCACCTGGTAAATTTGGGAACTGCTGGCTGGAATAGAGATGGTGCATCTTGGGAGGCTGGAACTCCTGTGAGCAGTGTGGTCCTCTCCCTTCTGGAGCCACGCTGGTTCCCACTGTATCCCAGTAAGTTGCCAGGCAACAGAAGCCACAGATCTGGACTTTCCGAGGGTCCGGCATTGGGCACAGGGTTGCAGCCAGCTGCCCTGGCGGCCTTTCCTCACCTGACAGCCCACATCTCTGATTTCCTGGGTCCAGCAGGTGTAGCTTCCACTGTGACTGAGGGGGAAGAATGAGGGCAGGAAGAGGGGAGGGTGAAGTGAACATGGGAAGTGTGTCCAGAGGGTTGGGTCTGTCCCTAGATTCCCTGACCCTTGGGCCTCTGGTTAGTGCTGGTGGAGTAGCTGGAGCACGTAAGGTAAAGTCTACGAAGAGAGGGAGGGAAACAGGCTAGAGGATGTTGGCCATGTGTGCTTTTCCAGGGCACAGAATTGTCCTTGTGTCCCTGCCCCCTGTTGTCAGTCGTGGTTGACTGCTTCGGTATCTGTGGGGTGCCTTGGGGGAAGTGAGTGGATGTAGGGGGGCGGGCTCTCTCAGAGGTGAAGCTGCTGTCTTTTTGGTGCTGGCCAGAGCGGATGGATTTGTGAACGCTGAAGCCTGGGTTTCTCTGACCCTACTGAGCCAGTGGCTTTTCTGAGCCTCCCTGTTCAGGCCCCCAGCAGGAGGCGCCCGTGATGGAGGAGCCTCCAGGGTCAGCTGAAAGACCTATCCATCAGCGCCTGTCTCCCGTCTGAGTCTCCTGGCGGGGCTGCAGCTGGCAGCCTGGGCTTGGCAGTTATTCCATAATTGGAGCTGAAGTCATTAAAAAGCCATTACTGTCTCCTTGTGTGGTTATGGTTTAGTGCAGCTAGAACAGTGCCCATCAGAAACAGGCAGGCTGGGGAAGTGTTGGTGAGAAAGGAAGATGCCTTAGGAATGGTGCTGGGGTGGAGATGAGGAGGAAGGGCCATCTGGGTGGGGGCGGAGAAGGGAACTGGGCCTGCTGAGGAAGCCAGGGGAGCTTTTGGTTCTGCTCTTCCTGGAGACAGCCATCATGGTTGCCCTTGGTCTCCACAACAGCTGCTGTTGGCTGGGGATTCTTTGTTATTCACCAGGGGGAGTTGTTGCGCACTTGTCCACTTGTTGTTAGCTAGGAACACCCACCTGGTACAAGCTCGTCACTGCTAGGTAATCGTGTTCCACCTCGTCCCCTTGCAGCTCTTCTAGAAACACTGCTTTACCAGGAGTCGTGCCCACTGTCAGAGCCTCCCCATTTTAGTAAATTTAGTGTAGACCCTCCTAGCTGGGTCTTGCTCAGCCAGGCACAGGTGGCTTCTCACCAGTGGCCGCCTCCCAGCTGTGCATGCTCCTTTCCTTCTGTGTGCTTGCAAATGCCTGCCAGTGGGTGAGGTGGTAGGCGGCTCTCTAGGTACTTTGGGGATATCTGTTTCTGGAACCTCTTTTCAGAAGCCTAACCCTTGTGTTCATCCATCTTTCTCTGAAGGCCAGTGGTTAAGTCCTTTCTACGTGTAATCTTACCTAGTAATCAGTGTTGCCGAAGCCTGTGGCTCTTTATCATTCTCCCCCATCAGGAAATGGAGGTAGAGGCAGAGGAGGAGAAAGGACTGTTTTCATGGAAAGCAGCCTCCTGCCTCCGGCATAACTGTGCATAGTCCATGGCAGTGGGACGGGGGCCTATGGTAGGGAAACGTGCCCCATGCATGGATGAGAGCATTAGAAGGCACTGGGCAGTGAGGCCACTATAGCTGCAAATACCTTTTGTCAGTTGAGCAGCTGCTGTGACCCAGCATTTCCAGAGGTGGCATTGCTGATGTGAGTCTCACCTCTCAGCTGGATGTCCCCTTTTCTAAATGACTCTAGATGTGAGCGTCAGCACCATGGAAGGCATCTTCTTTGTCTTGCTCAGCCAAGCCCAGGGCTGGGGATGGCCCAGGTGACTGCCCCGTCCCTGCCCTCTGAAAGTGTGAGTGGCTTGCGACTACCTAGAAAGCTGTGGAATGGCCCCTCCTGCTGGCACAAAGGGAAGCCAGTACTGTCTTGTGGAGGTTGCACAGGGGCCAGGCCACTGGCTCATGACAGTGGGGTTTATAGCTGCCCTGTGCCCAGGCACAGAGCTTGGCAAGTGGAGCACAGTTAGATTCCAGATCCTGTTGCTTCTGTCAGCCAGGGGCCATTGTACAGAGCTTAGACTGCATTTTTCATGTGTGTGCTGAAAGTTGTGATGCGTATGCACTGCGCGTGTGGCTGACCATGGGGGACACTGGTGTCCGGGTCTGACCCTTTCAAGTCCATCTGTGGGCAAATGCCTTGACTTTGCTTATTCAGTCAGGCTGTTGGCTTGAGCTGTAGAGACAGGGGAGGGTTGTAGCCTCTCAGGCCTGGCAGGGCCCTGAGGCATTTTGTGCCCTGGTCCTGAACCCTTTCTTCAGAAGTCTTCACTGCAGTCCTCCAGCCTGGGTGCGTGCTTCCGCGATGGGATGCCCCCCCCGTTTCAGCCAGCAGGAATATTTAGAGACCTGGTTGCATCCTGTGGTCCTGGCAATGCCTTCGGGAAGCCCCAAATGCAGCTGTGCCCTCTTAGGCAGATGGGCTGTTTCTGGAAGACCGAGGCCTGGAAGTATGGCTCTTGAGCAGTGTTTTCTCCTGTGCTCTGGCAGCTGAGGGTTTGGTGAATGAGGCTGTTCTGCACAGCCCCAGATCACAGTTGGGGTTCCTCAGGCATGCAGAGCAGCCCGTGGGTACCAGGAAAGGCCTTCCCAGCTGTCAAGTAGGCAGGACAGCTTCTAGTTAAAAACATGCATAGTCCTCATAGATGGTGGCCAAGGTGGTGGGTGGTGGGCAGTCTGTGATATGGGGGCTTCCTTCTACCCTCTGACTGGCTCCCTTGGAGATGTAAGTAGTTTAAGGCTCATGTAGGTCAATGAATGTTACAGCTAGAAAGGGCTAGCCATCAGGAGGAGGTGAAAGTGACTTCACTTTGTCCTCAGGGTGATGTGACCTCATGTTTCACCCTTACACGCACACTGCACTCACCTTCACACAAGCACACCCACTTCTTCACAGGTGTCTGCATGCATGTGTGCACACACACGAGATATTCACACACTTCCTTATGGCCTCGCACAAACCTAATGCACTCGGGCATGCCTGTGCGGGTACCCGCATACAGTATGGTTCAGGGGCAGCTTCAGAATAACTGGGCCAGGGCCGCCTGGGGCTTCCCAGAGCTCAGATCCTCAGGCTCCAGCCTCACCTCATGCAGCTGCCCACACCTTGGCCTTTGTAGCATTTGGGCCTAGGTCTCATGCATGTGTCTCTGGCTAGCCAAAAGCCACGTGGTTTGAGTTACCAGCTCCCTACTTGTGCCCTGACTTCCTCAGAGGCACGGCCAGTCTGGGTGAGATGAGGCTCCCTGTCCCAAGACTTGTGGGGCTCAAGGATTTGATGTCCCCCGGGCTGCCTGTGCCATGTCTACAGCCTGGGAAGGACCTGGTGGCTGGTTGCTGGGCTGTACGTTGATGTGTTGTGTCCACCCTGCAGACAACTCTGTGTGGCCCAAGCCCTGTACACTGAGGGACTGGTTAGTCTCTTAGCTTCATTCTCTCAAATGAGGAGGACCCTCTGCCCTCTTTAAGTGGGGAAGGGGAGTAGACAAAGTCAGCACTCTATTCTGCCCACTTGGAAAGCTCGGAGTTTGCTTTGAATGGATGGGGAAAGGGTCTGTCCCAGAGGACCGCAGCCTCCTCTAGAATGGTGGAAAGGAGGGGAAAGGCTGGGGCTGGTGAGATCCCAGTAGGCAGCTGGAGGGAGCAGCCCCCTGGGTTTGTCTGAAGCCTGGCCTTGGACCTGGCTTGTTGCTGGGATGCCTCTGGATAGTTTTCCTGGATCTCAGTCAGGCTTGGCCCTGCTCAGGGATCTCAGGGGAGGGTCTCATCCAGTACTTACTGGGGTGTGCTTGGGGAAACAGGGGTTCTAGCAGGATTCCAAAGTGGCAGCTCAAGCCCTTTTGGTTCAAGCTGGTTTCAAGATGGCAGGCTCCACCCTTCCTCCTCCTACCATGTGGGCTCACTGAGTCCCAGAAGCCATGATGGGATGGGTTTAAAGAGCCCAGATATGCTGGGGTTGGGCTCTGGGATATATCCTGGCACCTCATGGGCAAGCCCTGAAAACCCCTCTTTCGCTCTGCAGTGTCTTAGATGATGAGGGCAGAAACCTGAGGCAGCAGAAGCTTGATCGGCAGGTAAGTAGGCCTGGGGCTGGGTGGAAGGGAAGAGTCTGGGCTGGGATCTCCGAGGGCAGAGGGGCAGGGCTGTCCATCTTCCCTGGATGATCCCATCTGACTGGGGAATGGGATTCCCATGTGGAAGAAGAGAGGTGCACTCTCTCCCAGCTCAGCACTAACCCTGCACGGCGCAGGGCTTCTACCCCTCAGGCAGCTGGGTGACTGCAGTTGGAGAGCTGCCTGTGCTGTGATCCTGTCAAGGCAGCCACCTGGACCCTGTTTTGCCTCCTTTTCCTGGACCCCAAGTCTTGGGGTTCCAAGGACATGGGGCCTTGGCCCAAGGTGGGCTGTGGACCCACTGAGAACTGGGAGCCCTTCCTTCCTGGTGGAGGCAGTGGGTCAGCCAAGCTCTCTGCCTCCATAGCGGGCCCTGCTGGAGCAGAAGCAGAAGAAGAAGCGCCAGGAGCCCCTGATGGTGCAGGCCAATGCAGATGGGCGGCCCCGGAGCCGGCGGGCCCGGCAGTCGGAGGAGCAAGCCCCCCTGGTGGAGTCCTACCTCAGCAGCAGTGGCAGCACCAGCTACCAAGGTATACCTTGCCTGCCGCCCCACATCCTGTCACTGCTTCGGGGAGCCCCTCACTTCCTGCCCACCGTGTGGGGCTGGACCTGATGGGGGATGCCCAGGCTGTGTGTGGCTTCTAGCCCAGGCAGACAGCTGAGTAGGGAGGGCGGAGGGAAGGTGAACCTGTAGCTTTGGGCACCTGCATATGCTCCAGCTGTCACCTCCTGAATCAGGCGCTGAGGCCAGAAGGCGAAACCTTTTATGAAGCCTGGAGTTCAGAAGTCAAAGTTTTGATCTGGAGCATTTCAGTGAGTGCAGGAGGCAGCTTCTAAGAGTAGATGACCTGCTCCACCAGTAGTCTGCATCCTGAGAGGAATGCATCTCACTGTCCTGCCCCATACCAACCAGTGTCTCAGCACAAACACCTGTTTCCTTCCCTCTCTGTACCGTGTCTGCCTGGCTTCTGACTTGCAGATCCCTGTCTCTAGCTCACAACTCCTTAAGAGCTATAGTGACCTGGAGCCTCCAGCTCCCATCCTTAAATGTTCCAGGTCTCGGCAGAGCCCAGATGGGAGAAATTCTCTGCAGCTCATCCTGGAGAGAGAATGGCTTCAGCACATCTCTGCTCTCAGGACCCTCCTTCCTGCTTGGGTTAGATGAAGAGTAGGCTAGGCCAGACTGAGGGTTGGGCTCTCTGAGCTTAAAAGGAGGACTCAGACTCAGTCTCCACTGCCCCCTGCTGGTGCTACTAATCCAGGCTGCTACTTCACCAAATAGTAATTCTAAGAAGGTTGCAGGCATCTGGCTTTTTGCGGTTAGGAAGAACCTTAGCAGTCGTGGTGCTCCCCTCCTTCAGTGGCTTCTTTATGACCTGGAGCCTCCAGATACATCGAATTACTGGTAGTTGCCTCACCTCAGGGCTTTTTCATCTAACTGCTGGCCCCATACCCTGCCTCGCAGTGTTCCAGGTTCTTCTCTGGGTTCCACTGACCCATAGCTCCCTGAGCCCTTTGCCTGTTGGAGGGCAGCAGTTGAGTCTCATTTGCCTGGTGCCCATTTTGTGGCTGGGCACATCATACAGGCTCGGTCCTCTCTGTGCACGTGTATCCTCCGAGGAAGCCCACTCTGTTTCTTCTCATAAAGGCTGGCTGTGCATCTGCCAGTGGCTAAGTACAGTGCTAGAGGCTTTACCTGCATTATCTCATTTCATCCTCACAGGAACGCATTATCCACACATAATCAGTAAGGACGTGAGCTCTGAGGGGCTCAGTGACCTGCTCATAGTACTCTGCTAGTGAGCAGCAGGGCTAGACTTTGAACCCAGACCTAACAGACGCCAAATGGCCTCTCCTCCATATTGTGTTGCCTCCCTGATGAAAAACTCCTTCATGCTAATTCCCGTGTGTGTGTGTCAGTTCAGCACCCTGACCATACCTGGTATGTCTGTACTCTACTTGAGAGGCCTTCAGAAAAGGGGAACAGGGACCTCAGCCCAGCTGTCTCAGAGGCAGCCCCAGCTGGTCCTCACAGAGCTGGCCCCAGCCCCACCCTTTGCTGGCAGCCACCTCCTCCACTTCCTTTGTGAATGCCATCTCAAGGGTGGTAGTGGTACCCTGCCAGGAAGGTGGCCACTGTTCTGGGTCACATGGCACGTGGCCTGTGGCTGTGTGGCATCACAGCCCCAGCTCTGCCAAGCCTGGCAGCTGGGTGAGTGAGGCTGCATATAGAATGGGGGCCTGCACCCAGGATTGTGGGCCTGGCCAATTTGTGCCAGAGGCCAACATCATGAGAGGTCATTGATGTGCAGTCATTTTGGCAAGTATTTCTTGTCAGCTGTGTTCCAGATGATGCCAGGTCATCAGAAAGACCGAGGGACAAGTAGCACCTCTGGCATAAGTGCAGGACTGAAGTCAAAAGACAGTTTCTGCGCCAGGTGGCTCACGCCTGTAATCCCAACACTTTGGGAGGCCAAGGCAGGAGGATCACTTGAGGGCAGAAGTTCAGGACCAGCCTGGGTAACATAGTGAGACCCCATCTTTAAGAAAAAAATTAGCAGGGTGTGGTGGCATGCGCCTGTATTCCCAGCTACGTAGGAGGATCACTTGAGCCCAGGAGTTCGAGACTGCAGTAAGCTATGATCGTGCCACTGCAATCCAGCAAGAAAAAAAAGAGAAAAAGATAGTTTCTGGTTGTGCCACTACCAGTTACCTGCTCACTTGTGACTGGGACACGCCATTTACCCTCTCTGGATCTGTTTCCTCCCTTATAAAATGGGGAGAGTTCTCTGCCTTAGGGCTTTGGTACTCGAAGGAGCCATGGTGTGTTCCAAGGTCCAAAATCAGCTGATTGCTATTCCCTGCTGACATGCCAGACTGGGCTGGGCCTCCACCTTTTTCACAGAGGACATTTGAACATGTGACATGTGACTTCTGGGAGGTGCCTACTGCTTCTCTGGGGGCCCAGTCTTTGTCCAGGTCCAAATGGTGGACAAAGCTCTTGGGAGGCTGCTGCACATGTGGGTGGCCTACCCAGGAACTGGTGTTTCGAAGGCCACTCCCACCCACCTACAGCATTAGCTGCCTCCCTCTCTGCCCTCTGCTGGCTACAGGCGTCAAATACAGGGGATCATTCCAAGAGGAAAAGGAGGGAGTTTGATATACAGCAGAGCTCACAGTTCATCCTGGTTTTTGACCTGCTGGGTATACTCATTCATGTTACACATTCATTCATTTCTTAAATATTTATTGAGGTTTGTGTCAGGCTCTGGATTAGAGGCTGTAGGTCCCGAGTGAGCACAAATGGGTGTGGTCCCTGCTTTCATGGACCTTACAGTCTAGGTGGAGAGACAATGTTAAACAGACCATCATGGGTGTGCTTTGTGGAAGGAAGCCAAATTCTGTGAATAGATGACAACACCTGCGCTGACTAGGGAGGCAGGCACAGCTTCCCTCGGGAGGTGACATCCAAGCTGAAATCTGCAGGATGAGTGGGAGCTGATCACTGAGGGGGGTGAGGGGGAAGGCAGTGCAGGCAGCAGGAGCAAGGGCCCTGTGGCAAAAGGGAGTGCAGTGCATGTGAGGCACCAGACCAGCCTGGTGTGGCTGCAACTCTTGGTGCCCCAGAGGTGGGGAGTATGTGTTTAGACCTAGGGGAAGGGAGAGAATGTTGGTCTTCATCTTAAGAGCAATCAGAAACCATTCAAGGATTTTGAGCAGATTGGGGTTCTACAGTATGGAGAATTTGGAGGCCACTAGCTGGAACCCTTCTGAGACCTCACTGTTGGTGCTTGTAGCTTCTTGTATCCCAGAGTTGTTCTGAGCACTCCTATACCCCAGCCTCCCATGGGCTCATCCCTGCAGAGCCCCCTCATAGGCTCCCTGGAGTGCTTGCCCTGGTTGTGGTCTCTTCCAGAAGATGCAGCCTTTGTTCCTCCTTCACCATCTTCAGAGGCCATATCTTCTTGGACATTCTCCCTGCCTCTGTTCAGGCTCAGTACGGTTTGGTGGTCCAGAACTTTGAGTGCTTAGTTTGTTGGCTGATCACAGGTGTTGGTCTGGCTGTTGACTTGATCACACTGGGCTGGGGGTGCTGCCTCCTTCCATCTGGGCCTGCCCTGGAATCTTTGCCTAGTAGAGGTGAGTGGGCTGATTCTGTGGGCTGTGGAAGTGGTACAGGGGCCCTGGTGGGACTCAGGGTGTGGTTGAAAATGCTGTGCTGGGGACTGTGTTCAGGTGGGAGCTCCGGTCTCACCCAGTGCCTGTTTCTCTTTCTCCGTCTGGGGATGTTTCCTGAGCAGTTCAAGAGGCCGACTCACTTACCAGTGTGCAGCTGGGAGCCACACGCCCAACAGCACCAGCTTCAGCCAAGAGAACCAAGGCAGCAGCCACAGCAGGGGGCCAGGGTGGCGCCGCTAGGAAGGAGAAGAAGGGAAAGCACAAAGGTCAGCTTGCATTCTCTATAGCCCTCCCCAGCAGGCCTGGACTCCACTGTAGGGCTGGGGAAGGTTTGTCCTCCTGACTTGGAGGGGAGGGATAGGATGAACAGCCTCAGGGAAGACACAGACTGCTACACGGGGCACCCCCACCGGGTGGCTCACAGGCCTCACCTAGCTTGGGAGGTACCCGGGCTGCCTCTGGGGGTGGGCATGCCCACCACACTGCCAGGAAGTGAAGTCCTACTCAGCTGTGGCCCAGAACCACCGTCCCCTACCTCAGCTACCTTGGCCTGAGCACCCTTTATCACGACCCCTCAAGGAGGATCTCACCCAGCCTGGACTAGGACACTCACTGCAGTGGGTACTGCTTCCCAGGCAGCTTGCCCCATCCTTGTGCAGCCCTCGCTGTCAGCTCTTCATATAATGTGGACTTCCCTTGACTGTAGTCCAGGTTCCATCCTCTGGACCACAGACCAGCCTGTTCCCTCTGCTCCTCTTTCTCCAGAAAAGACCCCTAAAGATTAAGGACAGTGATGGTGGCACCTGCCCCAGGTCCTGTCTCTTGGCTACACACCCCATTTCCTCAGCTTTTGTTCATGGACAGTGGTTTCCAGGCCACTACATCTTGGTGACAGTGATGTGTCAGGGGCCATGGGCTTCTGGAGCTGACCAAGCACTCTGGGCATAGCTCAGCAGGCGGGCAGGGTGGTTGCCACCTGTATGGGTCAGGCCTTGCTTCTGTTACTGAAGCTCTGTGGTAAGAGGTAGGAAGGCTGACGTGGGATGGGAGGTGCTCCACTTGGGAAGGCGAGTGTATGCCAATTGCAATCTTTTTCAAGGGGCCCATGCTTCTAATGATGTATGTGAGTTACTGCATGTGTGTATGTGTGTATATTTGTGAAAGAAAACACCAGCATTGATCACTTGTAGCTGGCCGTGTCCATGAATGATTACTGGCCTTGGCTGTGGTCTGGATCAATCCTTGTTCTCCATCTTGTTTTTTCCACTGTGCAGTTGGTTTTGTAGATGGCTGCCATCTGCTTTAAGGATGCGAGGTATTGTAAACCAACCCTTGGCAATTAACTTGGGGGAAGAGCAGAAGAAATGAAGCCCACATCCCTTAGTATCTTACCAGTTGTTAACAGGTTGCCTCAATCATTAGTTTTATAAAAATCAGTCTTGTAAATAAAGTTTTGCAGAGGGTCTCCCCACTCTTCCCTCATCCCCTTCACGGACGTCTGAGAATCCAGGCCCTCCTCTCCTCCTCCTGGATGTAACTCAGGAGTGTCCGTGGCCTGCAGGCACCAGCGGGCCAGCAACACTGGCAGAAGACAAGTCTGAGGCCCAAGGCCCAGTGCAGATCCTGACTGTGGGCCAGTCAGACCACGCCCAGGACGCAGGGGAGACGGCAGCTGGTGGGGGCGAACGGCCCAGTGGGCAGGATCTCCGTGCCACGATGCAGAGGAAGGGTGAGCCCCACGGGGGCCCAGTGATACCCCCCAAAACTTAGTCCCAGGTTCTCAGATGTTCCTTTCTCCAGGAGCATGGCCTTCCTGTGTCCAAGCCCCTCCCTGGCCATGATGGGTGGGGGTGGGGCACACTTTGGAGACATATGAGAACCTCTTAGGCAGGGCACCTGATAACGCCCCAGTGAGGCCCAGCTTTGGGGCAGATTTCGTTTTCCTTTTGCTCCTTAGATAAAGCTCCTTTTGCAAGAAGTTTCCTATATGTCTGCTAAGCTAGTGGGAGCAGGGCCAGGATACCAAGAGGCGGGGTAGATCCTCCCTGGAAACCTTCTGTTCAGTTTTCCCATCACAAGCCCTGCCCTAGGGAGCCCCTGGTGCAGGGTGGCAGAGGGAAGAAGTCTGGCAGCACCACACACATTGTGAGGAATCTAATCAAGGCTGGCTTCCTGTACAAAGGACTTGGAGACAACTTGGGGATGGGGATGGCATTCCCGGGGAATGGCGGGCAGGAGGACAGCTAAGATAGAAGCTCAGAGCAAAGATGAGGGGTTAGTGGGTCCCCTCCACATTGGGCTGAGGAAGGAGCTGAGGCCTGTGCCCTGGCGGATTCCGTGGCCTATGCCAGCCAAGGCCTCTGATAGGCCTGAGGTCAGAAATGGAGGTTCCCAGTTCAAGGTGAGCTCAGTGCAGGCCTTGATACACAAGAGGCAGTGGCAGGGTGGCTGCTAGGAAGCGGAGTAATGTAGGGACTGAGCTGAAACTGGGTGGTGGGGACATATCCTGAGGATTGTGGCCAGCCCCGGCTCATGTGTGCACCTGAGAGAATGTCCTTGTATATCTGGACATGTGTGGGGATGTATGTGTGAATGTGAGTCTGTACGTGTACATATGGCTAAGAGTATGTGCGTAAGTGTGGGTATAGGTGAGTCAGTGTCTGAACGTATGTGACCGTTGTGTATTTCAGGGGCAGGGTAGACTTCTCCTTGTTCATCCCTTCTTCTTCTCTCCTTGGCCCAGGCATCTCCAGCAGCATGAGCTTTGAAGAGGATGAGGAGGATGAGGAGGAGAACAGCTCCAGCTCCTCCCAGCTAAATAGTAACACCCGCCCCAGCTCTGCTACTAGCAGGAAGTCCGTCAGGGTGAGTGAGTCTGCATCCACAGCAGTTTTTGAAGGACTGCTCATCAGAATTAGAGGTGGAGCGCGTGTGAAGAGATGATGGGGAGCTAGCTTTCTTGGGGTTGGGGCTTTTAGGAGCTTCTCTGCTGGCCTCTTACGTCCCTCCACCTTGCCTCCTAACCTCTTCAGCTAGGCCAGCAGGGTGATGTGTAGGGGGAGCTGCAGTTGGACAGGATGACCTCTGAGGACCTCCCATATCTCCCATCTCCACCTCTAGGAACTGTTGAGAAGAGGGCAGGGCTGGGAAGATAGCTCCTGACCCCAGGCCCAGGCTGGCCAGGCCCCCATCCCAGGATCCTTCCCTCTCTCCCACCGCCACATTAGGAGGCAGATTTGGATCCCAGATCACCAATTTGGGCTGCTTAGGGTCCTTGGGACTCAGGCGCCCGTTCTGTCCCCATAGGAGGCAGCCTCAGCCCCTAGCCCAACAGCTCCAGAGCAACCAGTGGATGTCGAGGTCCAGGATCTTGAGGAGTTTGCACTGAGGCCAGCCCCCCAGGGTATCACCATCAAATGCCGCATCACTCGGGACAAGAAAGGGATGGACCGGGGCATGTACCCCACTTACTTTCTGCACATGGACCGTGAGGACGGGAAGAAGGTAGGGTTGGTCTGGGCATGTTATTATCTAGGCTTTTCAGCCCTTTGAAGTCCTAGGGGCTGAAATGTGACTGGAAATCTCATATCTACCACTGACCTCTCAGTTCCTCAAAGAAACTGCCTTCGTGTCTGGTCAGTGCATATCTTTGTGTTTTCCAGTGCATTTGTGTGTGTGCACATATGTGCGTTTGGGAGCTGAAGCAAGGGAGAGACAGTCTGTGTGAGTGGATCTCATGACTGTGTGCAGACCAGAGGCTGAGTCTGGAATATGACCTCGTTCCACTCCCCAAGGTGTTCCTCCTGGCGGGAAGGAAGAGAAAGAAGAGTAAAACTTCCAATTACCTCATCTCTGTGGACCCAACAGACTTGTCTCGAGGAGGGGACAGCTACATCGGGAAACTGCGGTACTAGCATTCCCCCAGGAAGCAGGCGGGAGTGGGAGGGAGGGGCAGAGGCAGGCTCTCTCTAGAGGGCCTGAATCTCCCTGAAGGAGATCTAGGCCAGGGATGGATACTCTCCCAGGATCCTCTCTGATCATCACATCCAACTGGAGGCCTATGTCTATGCCAGCCTAGAGCCAGACTTGGAGATGGGCCTCACATACCTGACCCCAAGCTGTTCCCAGGAGGTGGGTGCAGGTCCACTGAGAGTGATGGATCCAACCCCAGGATGTCACTGATAATGCAGGCCACTATGGAAGAGCTGCCTTGGCTCCATAGTCAATGCCAAGGGACAGGGCTAAGAGTAAGCTCTTGAGGGAAGAGACACACAGCAGTCTTGGGGGTGGGGAGCAGTGGGGAAGGGGCAGGAAGGCTCTGAGCCTAGGCCTCCAAGTGGGGGTGGTGGGGAGGTAGGGTTTGCTGAGGAACAGAGTACCAGATTTGGGGAGCATAAATGAACATGAGAGGTCAGGAGCTAAAGCTGGAGATGGGGCTGGACTGAGACTTAGGCTGGCTGTGACAGGGGAGATCTCATCCTCTCTCCACGGGTGCTAAGCCTCTTCCACTGTCTTATCAGATGCCATTCTGTTTGCTCACCTCCCATGAGGAGAACTCCCATGTTCCCCCAGATAAATCTTCTGAAGAATCCTGATTTACCTCCCCGAATTGCTCTCACCGAACTGAAATGCACTTTGAGTCAACTCAGAGCAAGTTCAGGCCTTCTGCCCACGAAGTGTCTTCAAAGATGTGGATTCAGTGAGCAGTGTGCCTCCCTGGGCCTGCTGCTGGCCCAGTCCAGAATGTTTTGCAGGCTCCTCATAGAAGAGACGATGAGCTGTTCCCTGCTCTGGGGCAGAGGGTGCAAGACTGTAGACCGATTGTGCCTTTATTTCAGGTCCAACTTGATGGGCACCAAGTTCACTGTTTATGACAATGGAGTCAACCCTCAGAAGGCCTCATCCTCCACTTTGGAAAGTGGAATCTTACGTCAGGAGCTGGCAGCTGTGTGCTATGTGAGTCCTAGGTTCGGGGGTCTCTGATTTCCAAGGTAGATATGAAACCCAAGACTTGTTGCCTGATCTAGAGCCTATCCCATCCATCTTAGTGGGCAGACAAGGCTGTGTGGAGAAGGGCTGTCCTCTGTGGAGTGATCCTGGCCTAGGACAGGGGCTGTCTCCTGACTTCAGAGCTCACACCACAGCCGGCCATCTACTTGGGGAGCTCAGAAAACCAGGCCTGGCTCTCTGCAGTCCAGGCCAGGAGTCTCTTAGACAGAAGGAGACGGTAGGCCTGGGTTCTTGTCTGTGCATTTCCCAGATCATCCCTCTGGCATGCCAGGTTCTACATGGATTACCGGGCTCTTTGTCATCTCACTGAATGTTCAACCTAAGAGGTAGATCCTATTTTCTTTATAGATGAGGAAACTGAAGCTCAGCTGCAGCAACGTCACACAGCTCAAAAATGACCAAACTGGTATATAAATATAGGGGATTACTCTACCTCTTTGAACCTGTTTCTTCATTTTAAAAATGAGGGGTAGGTATCTCATCACCCTGGGCATAGGCACTTCTTGGAGGCCAGAAGTAATCCACAGCTACTTTGTATGATCCTTTGGTGCCACCTGCTGACCAGTTTTGGGGAGGCAGCCTGAGTCTTCAAGTTCTTGATGAGCTCCAACTATGCATACTGTTTGAGGCACTAAGGATATGGTAATGAACAGACATAAATGTGTACCTTTATGGGACTTAAAGCCCTAGTAGGGAAGACAAGCCATGAAATAGATCTATCAGTGAAGTAAGTATGTTCTTTAAAAACGCTAAGAAGAAAAAGTAGGGGAGGAGGGATAGCAAATGTCAAGGTATGTGTGAGATTTTCAGAATGGCAGGGAGGGCCTCACTGAGGTAGCTCTTGAGTAAAGACCAGAAGGAAGTGAAAAACAGCAGTGTACATGTCTAGGGGACACAGTGAGGGCAAAAGTCCTGAATGCCTGGTATGAAGAAGGAATGGAGTAGACGCCAGGGAGTAAATGGTGAGGAGAGTAAGGTCATGGGGCCCACGTGCAGGTAAAGTCACGTCTCCAGCTTTTACTCGGAGTGAGCTGGGGAGCCACTGGAGGGTTTTGAGCAGAGGAGAAAGATCATTTAACTTAACGTGCCTGAGCACTGGCTGGTGTGTTGAGAACAAATGGTGGGAAGGAGGAATAGGAGGGCCAAGAACAGAAACCAGGAGTCCAGGTAAAGGCTGTTACAATGATCTTGGTGAGAGAAGCTAGTGGTGAAAAGTGGTGGAGTTCTGGGTATAATTGGAAGCTAGAGCTGACAGAAACTCCTGATGGATTAGAAGTAGGATGTGGAAGAGGGGACTTTGAGTGTGACCAAGTAGTTTGCCGCAGTGATTGGAAGAATTGCATTGCCGTGAGCGGAAGCAAGGATGATGCATAAGAGGAGCTAGTTCTGGCAGAGTAGAGATGCAGGAGCTCAGTTCTGGCCGTGTTAGGTTTAGAGAGATGCGTGTTAGACTTCAGAGTGGAGATGGTGGGAACTAGCTCTTCATTTTTATTCCCGTCCCCCCCCCACCTTCTCCAGTAGGTAAATAGATGCCTCAGGTGGCCAGTGTTGCATTCTCTTTCCCAGGAGACAAACGTCTTAGGCTTCAAGGGGCCTCGGAAGATGAGTGTGATTGTTCCAGGCATGAACATGGTTCACGAGAGAGTCTCCATCCGCCCCCGCAACGTGAGTCTCTACCCTTCACTCCCCTCTTTCCCCATCATCCTAGTCCCTGCATGAGCTTCTAAGGGCAGAACTCCAGCTGATGGGTATATGTGGAGGGGATACCATATGAGAAAGTCCTGTAGGTCTAGGGAAATCTAAGGACCCCCATTCCTGGGATAGATCCCTCTTTGGGGTGGTCATGGTGCCAAAGGCCTGGGCCTGGCTCAGGTGAGGCTGCCCTCCCAGGAGCATGAGACACTGCTAGCACGCTGGCAGAATAAGAACACGGAGAGTATCATCGAGCTGCAAAACAAGACACCTGTCTGGAATGATGACACACAGTCCTATGTACTCAACTTCCATGGGCGCGTCACGCAGGCCTCTGTGAAGAACTTCCAGATCATCCATGGCAATGACCGTGAGTGTTTCTGTCCCTACTCGTTATGGTCCGTAGGATACCCAAGGCCCTTAGCATAGGGTTCAGCCCACCTACCACGGCCTACACTGGCTAGAGTTTAAAAATATGAGCTATACAGCTTAGGTTAGATGTATGGAACTTTCTAACCCTAATGACTGGGAGGTCCTGGAAGAACCGTCTTTGCAGCCCTGGTCCTAGATTCTGTGTATTCAGCAGAGTCTCAGGCATGGGAACACCCCTTAAAAGGACTTTTCCTCTTCTCTGTCCCCTGGTGTTCACATGCATCTTACTTTCTTCTTTGCCATCTGCTACCTCTTTGCTGCCACTTCTCCCAATTGGCCTTTGTTTTACTTCCTTTGTGATTCCCCTGGCATCTCCGCTTCTCACTTTTTCTTCCCTCATGTGCTTTGGGTGTCTGTCTATCCTTCCCTGGCTCTACCATTCCTGCCCTGTCCTTTTCTCTGTCTGTGCCTGTGCTTGGCCCCAGCGGACTACATCGTGATGCAGTTTGGCCGGGTAGCAGAGGATGTGTTCACCATGGATTACAACTACCCGCTGTGTGCGCTGCAGGCCTTTGCCATTGCCCTGTCCAGCTTCGACAGCAAGCTGGCGTGTGAGTAGAGGCCTCTTCGTGCCCTTTGGGGTTGCCCAGCCTGGAGCGGAGCTTGCCTGCCTGCCTGTGGAGACAGCCCTGCCTACCCTCTGTATATAGGCCTTCTGCCAGATGAAGCTTTGGCCTTCAGTGGGCTCCCTGGCCCAGCCAGCCAGGAACTGGCTCCTTTGCCTCTACTAGTAAGGCAGGGGAGTAGTGGAGAGCGGGTGGGTGGGTGTGAAGGGATGAAAATAACTCTTTCGTGCCCCGAGATCACACACTCCCACCCTTGGGGTAGTAGTGTGTCGTGGTCGTGCTTACCAAGCTGAATAACCTCTTCAGCTGGGAAGGCCAGAAGAGGCATTAGAGGGAGAGGAAGCACAATGCAGGGCTGCTGTGGCCCAGTCATCCACTCAGGCAAGGAGTCAGATGGCATCCGGTACTTCAGCAGGTAGGGGCACAGTGAGTGTGTGTATGTATGAAGGCCACGTCAACTTTATGTAGCAAAGGGCTTGGTGGCCGAGCCTGGCCCTTAAACAACTGCAGAAAGCCCTTCAACTAAAGAAGGCCTCACCCAACCCTGAGAGAAGTTGGGAGGGTGGTGGGGACAAGTAAGTGGCAGGACCCTGTCAGGATTGCAGGTGCCTGGCTCGCTGTGGCTGTGGGAATCAGCTGGTGGCTAGGGTTCTAGTGCATTTGATTTCTCCAGGTTTGCTGTGTCTCACAGAGGCAGTAGGAATCCAATTGTCAGGGCTGTCTTAGTGGAGGGGCCTGCAGGACACAGGCTCGGCATGCAGAAGTGCATGAACGGGGTCCCTGGATCAAGGTGGTTCTGGGAGTTCTCTCAGCTGCCCCAGGAGCTCTCTGCTGAGCAGCCCAGCACAACCCCCAGGAAATACAGATGGGGTCCAGGTCACCAGCTGACTGCACACAGCTAGGCATGCCTGGGGATCCTGCTGCCAGAGAACCATTCTCAGGCCATGGCATGCTCCTTGAAGAATTCTCTCTCTTTCGACCCAACTCTCTCACTGCTGTCAGGCAATATTTTAGAACCACAAGAGATCAGCGGTGGCAGGACCCTTAGGGATCTAGTACAACCTTGTTGCTTTAGGTGAATCACAGAAAATGGGGCTTGCCCTAGGTCACCTAGCTGGTTAATGGCAGCATTCAGAACTTCAAGTTCTCTTGATTTCTTTGTTCCTATTGTCCCCCAAGAAACTAGTATCTCTGGCCTCCTGGGGCCCATTCTGCATGTCCTCCTCACTCCCCCCGATTCCAGAGACTTAGAAACAACAGAGTTGATACATAAGATTGAAACCATTCCAGTAGGAAATCAGGCAGTTTGCTGTTGAAAGTTGTCTGGCTTTTTGCATGTGAGTATGATCCAGGACTGGCCTGTGTCTGGCCCCTCTTTGAGGGCTACTCAGCAGTAGGCAGGCCTTAGTAAGGCTGCCGCACACTTTTTGGTCTAGGTGAGAGTGCATAAAGGTTCTGGGGCTGAGCCTAACTCCCTCCACTGCCGCTATTTCTCCTTGGATGGCACCATCCACCTGGCAGGCTTCGGAACTCTAAGCTCAAGCTCTTGCTCATTTGTCATTTACCCTGGTGGAAGCTTCTTGCCCAGATAGAGATCTGGAATCGGTGGGAAGCAAGCAGGGATTGTACCTTGCTTTAGAGTACATATGTTTGGAAAAGCAAAGTAGAAATTTTTTTAAATATAAGTTGTATTTTAAACATGTTAGGCTTTGTAGGTGAAGGACTTGTTTTGACTTAAGTAGAATATGCTCTCATTTCTTTGTAATGTAGATTTTCCTATTTTGAATGCTTAAAGCAAGGCATACCTGTTCTAGCAGGATCTGCCCACACCTTGGCCGTACATCTGTGAGAGGCCCCTCCAATGATTAACATTGGTTAATGTTTGCATTAACATGGTCCAGTTTCTAGAGGGCACTAGAACTTTCTGTGCCAGGGCTGGCGAGTTATCATGGTGCCATCCTCCTTTCTATAGTTCCAGTTTAGCCCTTCCTTCCCTGCCTTTAAGGAGAAGAAATGTAGTGACATTTGAGATGATGGAAACTAGATCACCTCTAATGTCAGGTCAAGCTATTTCTCTGGATCTATGATTTTAAGATAAAACAGGCTGGTTCTGAGTTCTGGTAAGACAGAGACCCTGGTGGTAGTGGAAAAATCAGAAGCACAAAGGAAAACTTTTGGCCTCTGCTTTGTCCTGTAGCACACAGAAGAGGGAGTTGGCTAGATCTTTTGGTGGGGTCAGGAAACATGGGCTGAGCTTTCTCGTCTGAGTGTGGAGAAGGGTAACCTCAGCCACAAAGCTCTGTCAGGCATTGAGTGACAAGCCTCAGCAGCTGAGTGCACTCCTGGTGATGCTGGTTTTCCTTGAATACTGGCCCTGGGGCTATGGGCGCATGGACTCGTAAAGCTGTTGGCGCCCCTGGAAACCACCTGGGTTCAGCCTCTCCCACAGTGAGAGTTCTTGCCCTTCATACCCTCTTGCTGGATGGATGGTCCTTGATTGGGCAGGGAATTAATGACAGAATGAGCAGTCCCAAAGGTATTGGGCAGCTGGGAGTTTAGGCAGCTTCTCTGTAACCGCTCCTGGGACCACACCTGAAAACTCTACACCCTCTGCCCCAGAACAATTCTGCAGAGTGGTGAAGTTCACTTTCCCAACTCTTCTCCAAGTCTAGCTTTTCTTTCCTTCTGGCTCCAAGGTGCTCTGTGTCGGTCTGTATATGTGTGTGTCTGCGTGTCTCTGTGTATATTTGGGGAAAAGGGCAATCAGCAATCAACTGAGGTTTCTTAATTGTGATTATATTCCTGAGAATGAGTAGGAAAGGAATAAGGATGTTATGATTGCCTGTGGATTTTGTCCATTCATTTCATGCTCTTTGAACAGAAGGTATACCTGGGAAAATACCAGCTTTTTCTCTCAGGGTTCTGAGTGAGAGGACACCATCCAAGAATGTTGTTAGCTTTTCAGTTCCCACTCTGCATTGCCTGAAGAAATTGGTATGTTGCACGTATGTTTTCGGTTGAAATTGAACATATTCTAGTGAATGTGCCTTAAAAATCACGACACTAGTTCAGAGGAAGCACATAAGGTCCAGACCTATGGCAAAGACAGGTGTTGGAAGACAGGACTGTGATAGTCAGAAGCTGTAAGAGAACTTTTGGAGCCTGCAGGACATTTACCTCTTAAATAAACGTAGCATTTAGAGGTAGTTCTAAATTTAACAAGTGACAGGGTTGATTTGAAAGAAAAAGGTCCATGCTTTGCTTACAATGGAGTCTGCAGTGAGGGGAGATGCTGAGATAGCCATTTCCATGGCTCTGTTATGAAAGCACAAATTCCATCTCCTAGATGGACTTCCTGGTTTTCTCTTACTGCAGTAACACTGGCCTTCCCTTCTCTAATTCCTTACCCCAGCTGCGGCATCCCTGTGTCAACCCAGGATGCCAAGTGGCCCTCAGATTACGCTTCTCCAGATAGCTGAATGCGTCTGCTTTCACTGTTACTGGGACCTGAATGATCTGCAGTCAGGGCCCAGAGTTGGGACTCTATACTACCCTGGGCTCTGGTGTGTAGGCTTGTAGTAGCCACCAGTAATAAGCCAAGGGCTGGGCTCTTGTTTGAGTTTATGGCCACCTGGAATTTTCTGTCATCTCAGGATACAGTTGGGAGAGGCAGAACAGACATGATGACAGGTTTGGTTTTTAAAATTTCCAACCAAGTTTGAAAAGGCAAGTTGGTCTTAGAGAAAGCACTACTGCACTGAGTAGCTATGTGATTTTGAGCAAACCATGTAATCTCTCTAGGTCCATTTTCCTAACCACAAGATGAAGATGTTACATTGTCAAAGCTTGCTGTAGGATTCGGGGTGAATGAAAGTTACTCCTTGCTTTCATCACTACCTTTATAGCTCATTACTGTGCCTTTTTTTCTTTCCTAAGACATCACATCCCTCTCCTCTGTGCTCCTGTCCCTCCCTCCCCCTAGCAAGGTCCAGGCAAAGCTGGAGATGAGGCTGAGATCCAGATTTTCTTAGAAGGCAACTTAGAATGGCTAGGAAAGGGAAACCTGACTGCTTGGTCAGGAGGGTGCAGTAGCTCTTGCTGGGAACACAGCCAGTTTTCACAATACCTAGAATGTGTGTGTCTATTTGCACAAGTTGTCTTTTCCTATTTTGGAGTGGTCAGACATTTATTTTTGTTCAAGATTATCTGGAGTTTTAGACAAATTTACAAAACTGCTTTTATTAAGTGACTTTTTGAATAAACTTCTTTGGTATTCTGGAGCAAATGTATTTATTTATTGGTATGTGCAATGACAAACTTGGTATTTTCCCATGTTGACATTATGTATGTTGTAGAATTTAGTGTTTGTCTAAGTACAGACATATATCAACAAATTAAACTTGAATTGTTTCAACATTTTCGTGTACTTTTTTTATAAAAGGGGGAAAAAAGCCCTGTTTACTTCCTTTTTTCTGTACCTTTCATTCATTGTTTCCTAGCAGCCTCAGGTGGGTAAGTAGGTGGTAATAGCAAAGAGGTCATAACCTCACCAATGACATGTAGGTCAACACTGTCCTCCCTCTGGCTGTCCCTTTCAAGTTTAAGGTTCATCAGAACCACACCCAGAGACTGGAAAAATGGTGAAGTCAGAAGGTTCTTAAGTTAGAGCAGTTCTCTTCAGGGTCTGCTGTGCCACCTGAAGGGGCTGGTGGTTCCTCAGTATCTCCTGTGGGCCTGGCCTTTAGAAGAGAACAGGGCTGTAGAGATGAAAAAGGTACAAAAGACCCAACCACTTGATTTCTCTGGGCTTGCTTGGACCCTAACCCATTTAAACAGGACTTAGACATGCTTAGGAATCTTTTTTGTTGCAGGGCAGCTGTGGCAGATTTGACAGATTTGAAACCAAAAAGGAAGGGAGGCTCTAGTGGTAGCTAGAAGCAGACATGAAAGCTAATGGTCTGACCCAGAGGAGGTTATAACTAAAGGCACCCAGAGACTGCAGAAGGGCCCTGCGCCACTCCTGGCAGTCAGGGTAGCCTTAGAGGGTGTCAAGTGTGACATCTCAGCAACACTGGACTTGGTGGTGACGGTGAACATGCTGTCACCAAGCACCTACCATATGCTTTGCCCTGGCACAGACATTTTATAAACAGCATCTTATTCAATCCAAACAGCCCTGTAAAGAGAGCATTTCCCAATTCATGGGGAAACTGGTTCTCTGAGAGGTTAAGGAATGACCTAAGAGGAGAAATTTGGCCTATTTTCTTTTTCTTTTCTTTTCTTTTTTTTTTTTTTTTTGAGACACAGTCTCACTCCATCGCCCAGGCTGGAGTGCAGTGGCTGGATCTCAGCTCACTGCAAGCTCCGCCTCCCGGGTTCAGGCCATTCTCCTGCCTCAGCCTCCCGAGTAGCTGGGACTACAGGCGCCCGCCACCTCGCCCTGCTAGTTTTTTGTATTTTTTTAGTAGAGATGGGGTTTCACCGTGTTAGCCAGGATGGTCTCAATCTCCTGACCTCGTGATCCGCCCGTCTCGGCCTCCCAAAGTGCTGGGATTACAGGCTTGAGCCACCACGCCCGGCCAGCCTATTTTCTTTGTATAAAAAAAGGGAAATGAAAAGGAAGCACATTTTAGAAAAGTCAATGGTCAAGGCAAAGTCATAAGTGTATTCATGTTTTTTTCTCAATATTGCTGAATAGCTAAAGTATTAAATTTTTCTTTGGAACACAAATAGTCCAGATTGAAGGGAACTTTGAGAGTGGGGTAATAAATAAGGTTTGTTTACTCCCCCAGATCTAGAGTTCTGAGGTGACCAAGGGCATTTCCTACCTGAACCATGGCCTATCTCCTGTGGCCTCTGCCTCTGCCCCTGGTGGGAAATAGCATATACAGGATATTCTAAAATGGAAAGAGGGTTTTGTTTGTTTAGTCAGTAGGTTGAAAAATCTTAGACGGCTATAGACAGAGGTGGCCCTATGTCCAGGATAGTCTTAGTTTATAACTATCACCTTGGCATAATTACATCAAAGCTCCCTTTTTCCAAGGTGTTTACATTTGGACCATAAGTTATTTGATCACCCAAGCCATATAAGGTGCAGAGTATGGTTCTCAAAGGCCACTGCTTCTACAGGCCAAATACACTCCACTCCTCAGCACACCTCCCTGGGCTTAGCTTCTGGAGCTAGTCATGGAGATAATGAAATGGTTTCTTTGTGCTCCCGTTGTGACCAGGAAAGAGGATCTCCTGGCTGCACTACCCACCTGATTTATCAAGAATGATCCCAGATTATGCAGTTGTTTTGTGGGCTAACTGTCCATAGAGGTATGACTTGTGTACTCTGCCACACTGCCTAAAGGCCAGGGGACTGATCAAGTTCCCAGCCCCCTTGTTGTGAGAAATGAAGACATCAAGGAAAGAAACAGCAGCCCTGGCAACAAAAACCAGTCCCATGATTTTGTCTTCCTGGGTTGTATACACACATAACTATCACCCCTGAAGGATAAAGTAATTCTGGAAAATCCAAAAAGAATTGTCTGAATTCTAAATAACTGAAAGGTACATCCAAATGTCTGATATAAATACACAAATATATTCCTTATATATAAACCAACCAAGAGCTAGGGCAGGAAGAACTACCATAAGGGCTTAGTACTTCTGGCAGGAATTTCCATACGCCAATTTTCCCCAAAGACTAACAACACTTTACATAACAGCCTCATCAAAATACTTGAACATCCATGTATTTTGACACCCTACTGCTTTTTTCAACATCTCTTTCTGCCAAGAATGTCATCTCTTCTTTGCCCACCTGAAGAAGTTCTTAGCATGCCTCAAGGCCCACCTCCCAAGAAACTGAAGTGTCTTGGAAATACTTTAGCAAAAACAATTTCTCTTTCCTGTAGTTTTGGGCCCATGTCTGAATTATCGCATAGCCCTTATAATAAAAACATAATTACCACTTAATGAGTGGTTATCATGTATGAGCTACAACCAATGCTGTTTTACACACACTGATTTCATTTAACCAGAACTTTTAATACTCTTCCCTTTACTACCCTGAAGCCAAAGCTCAGACCAGTTAAGGAGCCGATCCAAGATTCCACAGCTAGAAAATGCAGGGACAGACCATGGTTCATGTTTCTCTGCCTGCAGAATTCACAATCTTGAGCCCTCTTATAGAGTCATAGTTCATTGTATCTGTCAGGCGCTCTCATTACATTGAGTTTTTTGAGAGCAGAAATTGAGCCTCTGTTCCTAGTACCTAGCACTGAGCAACTGACTGCTAAATGAATGAATTAGCTAGAAGAAAACAGAAGTATTTATCTCTAATAAGGGAATCATATCCTAGGGCAAAAAGGAAATCTGAGCGAGGAACCCAGAGCTCTCCTCATAAATCAACCCCTCATAGTAAACGAAGGGAAATAACAGAAAACAATTTATCGAAACAGTAAAGAGCACCTGTTATTTTTCACCTTTAGTGTACATCTAGATTGCATTCAATACATTTTAAACTGCATTCTTTACAATGTGAAGCAAATGTTCTACACAGAGATAGATGCAATATACTTTCATAAATTCAGTCTTGAATGACTCTTCTCTGTAACTCAGTTAACAATAAATGCCTAGTAGTAGCTGACAGATTATCTTACTATGATCCCATACCTTCTAACAGCAGTCTGTATGCTGATGTATGATTTTAAACTATTTTCCCGGCATCTTATTCATGCCAAGCATAATGTAACTCTAAAAGCCATATCTACCTTTACATAATTTCTTAATTTTCCAGTCTTGTACATTTCATGACTGGGAATGTCTTTGGGAATGTGCCCTCTTCAAACTCTCAGGTCTTACATGTAAACTGAATTCACACATACTTCATGATATAATTCATGGGTACTATCTTGTCTCAAGACATGCGTCAGATGCAGTAAGGAGAAAAGGTCTTTAGTTTGGTCAAAATCTCCCAGGCCTAATCTAGTTGCGACTTTCCCCAGCTCTCTCGAAAGACCCAAATATCTGAGTATGGAACATATGGTCTCTACCCCTGGGCACTGCTACATTGGTTCTCTGCAACAGACATACTCCAACTTCCCTGTTGAGTTGGCACTTTGTATACAAGATCAGTTCTCATTTCTGTTTCAATTTATGTGCTTCTGAGAACAAATTTCTCAAAGGGTGCAACATTCAGAAACAGCTTTAGGTAAGGACTGTCCATAAGCGCACAGATTCTCTCCCCAGTTGCTGGCTTCCTGGCCTTCTGAGCTCCTCATGGCAGGAGCAGAATTCACAATCTTGAGCCCTCTTATAGGGCTGCAGCCTCCTCATGGCAGGACCATCCCTGGGCAGGCCTTCCTACAGCTTCAATGGCCTCAAGTCTTGTCTCTGCAAGGCAGGGTCTAAAGTCTTTATCTAAAGCTTCCTCTGTCCACTGAAAACCAGGAGTGCAAAGGTACTTCTGGGCTTGGCAGTTCTGTTAAGCAGAACAGGGGTAAAGGAAGCTAGATATCCAGGTAGTATCAGAGTAAAACAGTCCCCAAACAAGCCTCTGGGCTCATTCTCAGATCAGTGGGAGTCTTCCCTACTCTGGAAAAAAGAGGACGTTTGAGGCAGCATCAATGTTCCTAGGAAGACCCTCACTGCAAGGAAGAGGCTTCAGCTCAGAGAGCAGTCTTACCCTGCTCTGGGCCCAGCCCCACAAATAAAATGTTCTCTTTTCCCCAGGGGACTACTAACCTGCTCAAGGCCCAAAGAATAAGGCATCTTGGAGTCTGAAATCTTCATTCTTGCAACCTTAAGTCCTCATAATCTGTAAGCTGATGTTCGTTCACAGGTGAACTATCTGTTACACCTACCAGGAAGAGTCAGACCTTTGCCCCTGAGTGGTTCCATCTGTAATTACAATAGACCAAACATAATTACTTAATGGATCAACTTCTCTGATAGGGGAAAGGCAGGAAGAGAAAGAGCAAAGCTGTCCTGTGTTCACACTAATGTCCATGTTTTACAAGGTGACAGGTGTGTGAGCACCAGGAAGGATACATGATATCCGTGATAGTGGCCTGATAGCTATGACACTTGAACACAGTGAAGAAAGTACAGGGCACAGGGCCAAGAAGGAAATCTGAGGAGAGAAAGGTCACCTTGGGACCTGAGTAATGGATACTTCAGACTGGCTGTTTTCACTCTAAACCCTGGGGGTTACGCTTCCTCAGCATGCTGCCTGTATATGCTTTATCGATGTTGATGCCCAACCCTTCATCTCTAAAGTCTTGGGACCACTCTTCTTTAGTGGTTTCCTCTTGCTCAAGGTAGCTATCTGCATTCTCTGCCAAGACAGCAGGATCCTCGTCTTCATGAAAACAGCAGGAACATGTTTCTGGCTTTGGATCACATGAGGTGACAGAATTATCTTCCTGGGCTCTGGGGTCAGTGGGCAGACTTTCCCAACCCAAATGATCTGATTCTTCCTCTTCTATCACTCCCATTCTCTCAGCTGTTTCTTCAGCAGAAAGCTCTTTTGGGTCAGGGTAATCCACCAAAATTGTTTCTTGCCTACGCTTGATACACTCTGAAAGGTCATAAATTGGATAAGTCTCTTCAGGGTAACCTAGAGAGAAAAGCAGCATAAAGTATTACAAAGAATGTCTCCTCAAAAAAAAATAGTGTCAGGTTCAAAGAGGATTCTCAGGCAGCAGCCATCTTATCCTAACAGATCCATTGAAGACATCTCTTAAGATTCCAATAGTTCTAAAGTTTCACTTGAGCAAATTCTTAGCAATCTGGCTGACTATCCCAATGCTCTGAAATACAAACCAATTCAGATGAAAATCCCTTCTTATGTGTAGGGTGCTTGGGGCAGAGTTAAGTCTTATACCACGTGTTTTTGCAGTACTGATGAAGATTAAACAAACAACATGAGCCTTTAGTTTAAAAAAAAAAAAGGCATCAAATATCAGAGCACGGCTCCAGGCTAATGTTTATAATTTCTATTTGGAACAATTTCCAAATCTTCCTTGGTGAAGGGGGGAGAGGAAAGGAATGCTAAGCTCTTTGAAAAATACCCCATGAAACTTTCTATTTATCAAAACAATTGAAATGGCTTGCAAGTGTCAAAAATAGAGAGCACTTTAGCAAGACATGCCCAAGATCCCAAAGGACAAGCACTGCATTTTTGGAAGACAGAATTCCTGTTGTTGGCTTCTTCATCTTCACAAAATGGAACAAAAGAAAACAACAAACTGGTACACAAAATGAATAACACTGGTACTGAATCCCAGCTAGGATAATGAGAAAAGAGAAACTGTTGCCAAATTACCAAACGAAATGAAATAAATCTGTGTCAGCCAAGCAAGCCTGAGCAGCAGATGGGCCGTGCTGGAGCTCACACACCAGTACTGGCACCAGCGGCAGTGATCACGATACAGTGCAGAAAGCTGGAGGATTCAGAACCCATTTGCCCATTATGATAATTGGCAAATTCAACCCTAACGTAAACCACTTTGTGCCTACCAACTGTGACAAAGTCTTTTTTGGTGCAATGTAGGGTGTGTGGAGACATTTCTACATTCACTGCTTTTTCTGACTATAAAAATCATACAGACACATTTGTAGAAAATTTGGAAAACATACAGGCTAATTTAAAAAAGAAAACACAAATCACCCATATCATCACTCATAATAATTTGCTTTTTTCTGGCCTTTTAACCATATAAAACATGTCTTTTCCTTTCTTTTTTTTCTTTTGAGGCGGAGTCTTGCTCTGAGACCTGCCCAGGCTGGAATGCAGTGGTGCAATCTCGGTTCACTGCAACCTCCACATCCATGGTTCAAGTGATTCTCCTGCCTCAGCCTGCTGAGTAGCTGAGACTACAGGTGCATTCCACCACACCTGGCTAATTTTTTGTATTTTTAGTAGAGACGGGGTTTCACCACGTTGGCCAGGCTGGTCTCAAACTCCTGACCTCAGGTGATCCACCTACCTCGGTCTCCCAAAGTGTTGGGATTACAGGCATGAGCTACTGCGCCCAGCCAACATGTATTTTCTTATTCCCTTTTTTTTAAAAAGAAGGATCATATTTGTGCATAAAAGGTTATATCCTGATGTTTTTCAATTCAACATTATATCATGAGCATCTCTCCATGTCATTAGGCATTTGAAAGCTGGCTGCAAAACACCTCATCATATAGCTATATAACTGACATGATTTACTAGTCCTCTTTTCTAGGACATTTAGATTCTTTCCAATTTTCCCCTATTATAAGTAGTATACAAGTTAAGATCTCTTAATGTAAGTCTATGTCCACTTCCTTAATTCTTTAAGATAGATTTCTATAAATATGAAAACTAGACCAAAGGGAATGGACATTTCAAAAGTCTTTTCTATACTCTGCCAAATTACTTTCCAGAAGAGTGGTATAAATTTTCAATCTTACCAGTGATATAAAGACTGTCCATCTTATCACACCCTCACCAGCACTCACAGTAGTATGTTAAGAATTTTGCCAATGCAGTCTTTATTCCAAGGCTCAACTTACTGTGGATGGAATGCTAGGTAAAGTGGAACTTAGCTACCCAAGACCCTCAGCCTCCATGGTCAAGGATAGGAGCTGGAAAAGCTGCTTGCTAGTCAGCTCCCAGCCACTGAATGCTTAAAAGAAGTCCATTTGCTGGCATGTCCCTGCCTTCCCACACCTAGAACAAAGCTTACCTTTGAATTTTCATGACTATCTGCTTTAAGAGGGAAGGCCACCCAGACTCAGGCTCTCGGCCTACCCCAACATCAGGCCTCAGTCCAGCTCTGCATCCCTAGTCATAATGCCTGTACCCACAAACCCAGCCTCCATGCTGGCCCCTGCAGATACAGACTCCAGGCCTACCAAGCATCAGGCCAGCAACTATGGCCCCATAATCCAGTCCCACCCTAGGTTCCAGACAAAACCAGAGCCAGGTCTGCCCGTGTAGCCCCAATGCCAAATTGGCACCCCTAACTTCAGTTACCAGGCCAGCACCTGCAGACACAGACTCTAGGCCTGCCCAGTGCCAGGCTAGTCTCTATGACCCCCGCTACTTTCAGGGTGGCCCCTGCATTCCCACAATCCAGCAGACCCTGGGTCTAGGCCAACCCAGTAGACCCTAGCATTGGGCTGGCCCTCAGAACCCCAGGACTGCCCCTATGGACCTAGGTTCTAGGCTGGAGGCCTGTGGCCCCAGGACCCAGGCCAGCCCTAATGGACCTAGCCTCCAGACACATCCATCAGACTCAGACTCCAGGCCCATTTCAGTGGACCCAGGCACCAGGTTCATTCTAGCATCTGGCCAATCTCTGAAGTCCCAGGCTCAAGGCCCAGTCCAGCCCCAGGTCAGCCCTTGCGGACCTAGGCTTTGGGATAGCCTCTCCACACAAGATACGAGCTCCAGGTCCATGCCTGAGGATTTAATCAACAGGTACACCCCAGGGGATCCAGGATTCAACCCCAATCCCATGGACGCAGCACCAGGCCACCCTGCCTAAGGACTCTAGCAGCAAGGCCACCTGCAGATCACACCAAATGGCCTATCCAGAATCTCTGGGCATGCTGACTGGTGAATGGCTTTTCCAGACAAAGCCAGTATGCAAAAACCATTCACCAGCATAAGACCCTGCTTCTTCAAATGCACAGACACCAATGCATAGCCATGAGGATCAAGAACAATCAGGGAAACATGTTGCCACCAATGAACAAAATAAAGCACCAGGAACAGACCCTAAAGAAATGAAGATATGCCTGGGCGCGGTGGCTCACGCTTGTAAGCTCAGCACTTTAGGAGGCCAAGAGAGGTAGATCACCTGAGGTCAGGAGTTCAAAACCAACCTGGTCAACATGGTGAAATCCTATCTCTACTAAAAATACAAAAAGTTAGCCGGGCATGGTGGCAGGCGCCTGTAATTCCAGCTACTCTGGAGGCTGAGGCAGGAGAATTGTTTGAACCCAGGAGGCAGAGGTTGCAGTGAGCCGAGATTATGCCATTGCACTCCAGCCTGGGCAACAAGACAAAACTCTGTCTCAAAAAAAAAAAAAAAAAAAAGGAAATAAAGACACATGAACATGAATTGCCTAACAAAGAATTCAAGATAACTGTTTTAAGGAAACTCAGCGAACTTCAAGAAAATACAGAGAAACAATGAAAGGAAACCAGAAAAACAATAATAAAAAAATTTACAAGAGACTGAAATTATATATAAAAAATCAAACAAATTCTACAGCTGAAAAATATGAGAAATGAAATGAAAAATGCAATAGAGAGTATCGACAGCAACACTGAGCAAAAGAATGAACCTTTGAATCTAAAGACATTATTTGACAATATACAGTTGGGTGAGAAAAAAAGAATGAAAAGAAAGAAAGCTTATGGGATTTATGGGGCAGCTTATGGGATTTATGGGAACTGGAGTTCAAGAAGGAGGAGAGAGAGACAAAAGGATAGAAAGTTTAAAGAAATAATAGCAGAAAACTATACAAATCTGGGGAAAGTTATAAATATCTGGGTACAGGAAGGTCAAAAGTCTCCAATCAGACTGACCTCAAGTAAGACTATATCAAGAAGTATTATAATCAGACTATCAAAAATAAAAGAGAGGATGCTGGAAGCAGCAAAAGAAAAAAAGTAGATCACATATAAGGGAGTTCTAACAGATTTATCAGCAGAAACCTTAAAGGCCAGAAAAGAGTGGGAAAATATATTCAAAATGCTTATGGAAAACAAAAACAAAAAAAAGGTCAACCAAGAATATTGTAGTTGGCAAAGTTCTCCTTCAGAAATGAGGAAAAAACAAACACTCTGCCAGACAAAAGTTGAAGGAGCTTATCCACACAAGATCTGTCTTATAAGAAATGCTCAAGGGTGTTCTTCAAGTAGAGAGCAAGGGACAATATTTAGTAACACAAATATATATATGAAAGTATAGGCTGGGTGCGGTGGCTCACGCCTGTAATCCCAGCACTTTGGGAGGCTGGGGTGAGTGGATCACCTGAGGTCAGGAGTTCGAGACCAGCCTGACCAACAAGGTGAAACCCCACCTCTACTAAAAATACAAAATTAGCTGGGCGTGGTGGTGCATGCCTGTAATCCCAGCTACTTGGGAGGCTGAACTGAAAACTATAAAATTTTGATGAAAGAAATTGAAGAAGACACAAATAAAATGAAAAGATGTCCTGTTTATGGATTGGAAGAATTGATATTACTAAAATGTCCATAGTATACAAAGCAATCTACAGATTCAATACAATCCCTATCAAAATTTCCATGACAATTTTTCACAGAAATAGAATAAAAAATTCTAAAATTCATATGGAACCACAAAAGACCCCAAATGGCCAAAGCAATCATGAACAAAAAGAACAAAGCCAGAGGCATCACAGTGCCTGATTCCCAAATCTACTACAAAGCTATAGTAATCAAAACAGTATGTTACTGGCATAAAAACAGACATACAGACTCATGGAACAGAATAGAAAGCCCAGAAATAAATCCGCACATTTACGGTCAATTTTTTTAAACAAAGATGCCAAAAAATAAAACATACACACATACACATAGGTCAAACAACAAACACAAAAAGGTCAAAG